CAGATCAAATATTAATTATTTTAATTAAGCTAATCAAATCAAACATATGTTTTCATAATTAGATATTTCAAATTTTGATTAACGTCATTCAGTTGACGTATTTCCTTTGAGCTGAAGCAGCAATTTAGCATTGTATCGTTTCTTGATCTGTGTGTGTAGCATTGCACGTATTTGCAATGGGGGGGGGGGAGGGGGCTGTCTATACTATTATAGAAACGGGACCTCTGTCTATTAGGATAGTTTATAAAGACTAAAAGTAAAAGGTGCTGATAAAAGGTGGTCGAATGATAGAGCTTACGACTGCTAGCCCAAAAGGTAGGACGCCCCAGAGTTCACTCAGCTGTAATGGGTACCTGACGTAAGTTTGATTAACAGTAGGGAAGCAAGTCGGCTGCTGGGCATAGTGCTGACCACGTTATCCTCTTTTATGCCTAGGTCATTGAAACAGCTGAACTCTACTTCATCTGCCCCGTGTGATTATGGGTACGAACAGGGAAAAACTGATGATTAAAAGATACAGTGGACAATATTCAGCCACAAAGCAAGGGAATTAAACCGATTTTTATTCGTGTGTTAAAAAAGCTAGGGTAAATTTTATTCTACGCTGAAATTGCTAGAGTTCTTGTTTTTTTTTTTTTGTGCTGAAAAAACTAAAGAACAAAAACATCATTCTTGTTTTCCTCTTTATGACAAGATATACACATAAGTAGACAACGGAAGTTACAGTAAACACATTTTAAACAGTGTTTCATTCAGACTTTATTCTCCGGTGTGGGGGGAGGGGGGCTTAAAACTTTTGTGATGGGTCGGACTAAATTTTCTGTTAGGACGGGACGGACACTGGTAAAATTACATATTTTCTATAAAATATTTATAAGTAGGAAGTGGGTGGGGGGGGGGGAGAGAAAGGAATATCCGAACTCCAGACTACCGGGTTAGCAGTCGAGCACTTTACCACTCGGCCCATATTTTACTTATCCTCTCTTCATATGCCTAGGTCACAGAAACAAGTAAACTCTACTTCCCTTGCCCTTTAGACCGTCAGGTTTGAAAGGGAATTTTAATGTTACTTACTCATTTTTTCTGTCCATCTGTTTATGAAGTCTACATTACTCAGATATTCGAAGACGTACTGCTTAATTTTAAGCAAAAAAAAAAAAAAAAAAAAAAAAAAAAAAAATTGAAAAAAAAAATGTAATAAAAAATTGCAACATATTGACTGATTCGACAATGTGCTTCGTCAAAAAAAAGAAAGTTTATTTCAAAATATTTATGCTGAGTTTTACAAATTTAAGAGACAGACGAAACACCAACACGAGCCGGCTTCGACCTGAGACAAAACAGCTTCTTGTAGGCCCGCTTGAAGTTCTTGTTCATGAGGCCATAGACGAGCCAGTTGATGCAGGAGTTGGTGAAGGACGTGTAGGAACAGGTCAGGTGGACCACGGCTGACCACTGGTCACCTGTGTCGAACAGGGTCGTCAGCATGTAGGGGGACATGAGCACGGCGAAACAGATGAAGATGACGAACAGGGACTTGATGAGGTTTAGTTCGTCCGGTGTGATCAGCTTGGTCTGTGGAGGGTTAGGATTAGGATTAGGATTAGCGTTAGGGTTAAGGTTATCGTAATCGGTGGGATATGGATCATCGTTAGAGTAAGTGGATAGGTATATATATATATATATATATATATATATATATATATATATATATATATATATATATATATATATATATATATATATATATATATATAATACAAGTAAATATAATGCAGGGAGTGTTCTAATTTTCACCAACACCTATCTACATATACATGCATACATATATATCTGTATATATATATATATATATATATATATATATATATATATATATATATATATATATATATATATATATATATATATAAGTGTGTGTGTGTGTGTAAGCCTACGTAAGATAGTTTTTAACTTCCCCTTCCACGCCATGACAAAATTTGTATACTCCACTGGAAATAAATGATTGCAAGGATAGTAATAATGACAGAGATAATGATAGTGATAACAACAGTGATAATGAGAACAAGGATATGAATTATTATAATGATAATGACTGTTGATAATTAATTACTTTAATGTTAATGATAGTTTAATAATAAGTGTAAGTATACTAATCACAATACTATTAATTTTCTCTAAGATAGAGATAATAATATTGATAATGATAACGATAAAAATGTTAGTTATAATAACGATAATGACAAAGAGAGCTGCATCATTTTTTTTTATCATTGCAAAAACCACTTATTCCAAATAATCCAATTTACTTTTTAGCTCTGTTTCTTCTCAATCGATAATCGAACCGGGACATCCAGTCGTGAGACTAATTAGTATCGACCAACCAGGATAATTACAGACTATGGAACATAATGATTATGTTGGAAGTTTCACTGTCTAATTTGTAATTTCTGTATAATGAAGTTTTAAAAATAAAATCGTATAGGCCTACTGTGTAATAAAGTTTTTAAAATAAAATCGTATAGGCCTATTGATATGTGATTAGTATGTTTTAGAGATGAAATACTGTTTAAAAAAGTAGGAAAATTTATTTACAAAATTGTTAAAAACAATTGTTCAAAATGTTATGAAACAACAGATGCTAAAAGCAGACTCAAACATAAACCACCAAGGCAGCGCTTGCCATAAAAACTACAGCATTAAAATTATAATTTAAAAAAAAAAACGTTTTCTCTTAATTTAAATGAAAAAAAAAATCATTATAATGATTGTTTTCTACAGAAAGAAACGGTGAATGTACAAAGCATTTTTAACTTGGAGGGTAAAATTTAGAAAAAAAAATTAATAAGATCTGGAAACTTGAACAAATACGAAACTCAAAAAACATTTAAAACAGTGGTTTTTAACATTTCGGTGGCCCCGTACCCCACCAGTTTCATTTGCGCATTACCCAAACCCTTCTTAATAGTTCTATCGTCCGCAATGACAAAATCTGATGGGGATTCATGAAGGTCGGGTGAGTATTTTGTTCTCCGCCAAAACCATGAGACTGACTCGCCGAACACAGGTTTAAGAACCACTGATTTAAACGAAATACTCAAAAATACAAGAAAGCTGCAAGAATGGTACATAAAACAAATCACAATTTAAAAAAAAAAAACCCACTAAAACCATATAGTAAATAAATAAGCAATTTTTGGATAGCAGGAAGAAATAAAAAAAACATTTAAGAATATATATATAACGGTCTCAGACTAAGCTTCAACCATAAGGCATTTATTTATTATGTTAGTTTTTAATCTTATTTTAACTTTGCAATTGTTTAGAAGTCTGGTATTATATTTTTCTTTCGAAATTCTGAAAAATAATCTCTTATTAAGCTCAAGAATATCAAAGTATTCTTCTACCACAATGTTCTCTTATACTTTAATATATTTTAATCAAGTTTGGGCTTAGATGTCCCGACTGTGTTGCCATAATAATGGCTTTAAAAAATGAAGTATGGAGTGTTGGTGGTGTTATAAAGCAGCTCGTCAATCCCCCTCCTCCCCCCCCCCCCCCACACACACCATAACAATAATCTATTTATACAGTTTTAATTCCAATTTCCAATTTCAGCTCAAGAAACTACAATTTCCATACAAGCAAATTGGTATTTGTATTATTAAAGTGGATAAAAACAAAACTACAGACAACAGTCGATGCTGTTGTTGAAGTCGTTACGGTCTATTGATTTATCTCACCTGGTTCTGGCACCGTACCCGCGATACCCGGGGCTGTATTCACGCCTCACTCGGCGAATTCCACTTCGATTTTTTTTTTCAAACACTGAAGTTATTGTAGGTGAAGCTTACGAAAACTGTTTGCGTGTGTGTATGTGAGTGAGTGTGTATGTGTGTGGCAGCTTGTGTGTGTATGCATGAATGAGTGTGTGTGTGTGTGCATGAGTATGTGCGTGTGTGCATGAATGAGCGTGTGTATGCATGAGTGTGTGCGTGTGTGTCTGCTTAAGCTGGCTTAATGTAGCTACCTCCACTCCTAGTACTTGCATGTGAATTAACGATTGAAGCAAGGTTTTACTTTCGCATCTGGCGCTTCAGCGAGCAGATAAAGTAGAGTTCACCTGCTCTCCTGATCTTGTCATATGAAAGGACAATGTGGTCAGCACTATGCCCTGCCGCCTTTACTTTCCCAAACGTAAGTCCGATAACTATCAGAGCTGGGTGGACTCAATGGCTTCTTACAGACTCTATCCCAAGATCCGAACTCAAGACTTTCGGGTTAGCAGTCATACACTCCAACATCCGATCACGGCGCCCCATATAAGCGGATTGGAAAGGTGGTTAGGTTAGGTTGCCTGTCTCCCCCCCCCCCCCCCTCCAGGTAAGTTGGCCGCTGACAAGAGCTTGCCTGGTATCTCTGTCCTGGGCTAGTCTCTCCAACTGTCCCCAGGTGTATCCAGGCTAGTCTCTCCAACTGTCCCCAGGTGTATCCTGTCCTGGGCTAGTCTCTCCAACTGTCCCCAGGTGTATCCAGGCTAGTCTCTCAAACTGTACCCAGGTGTATCCTGTCCTGGGCTAGTCTCTCCAACTGTCCCCAGGTGTATCCTGTCCAGGCTAGTCTCTCCAACTGTCCCCAGGTGTATCCTGTCCTGGGCTAGTCTCTCCAACTGTCCCCAGGTGTATCCTGTCCTGGGCTAGTCTCTCCAACTGTCCCCAGGTGTATCCTGTCCAGGCTAGTCTCTCCAACTGTCCCCAGGTGTATCCTGTCCTGGGCTAGTCTCTCCAACTGTCCCCAGGTGTATCCTGTCCTGGGCTAGTCTCTCCAACTGTCCCCAGGTGTATCCTGTCCTGGGCTAGTCTCTCCAACTGTCCCCAGGTGTATCCAGGCTAGTCTCTCCAACTGTCCTCAGGTGTATCCTGTCCAGGCTAGTCTCTCCAACTGTCGCCAGGTGTCCCGGGCTAGTCTCTCCAACTGTCCCCAGGTGTCCTGGGCTAGTCTCTCCAACTGTCCCCAGGTGTATCAAATCTTCTTGGTGTCATGCATCTCTGTCCTGGGCTAGTCTCTCCAACTGTCCCCAGGTGTAACCATTCTAGTGTCTCCAACTGTCCCCAGATGTATCCAATCTTCTTGGTGTCTTCTTCCAGGTCACGTCTCCAGTTATTTCCTGGTCTGCCTCTTCCAGCTTCAAACATTACACGGACATTAAAAGTATAAAGGGTAGTGGGTCCTAAAATGATGACAAGCAATATTAGTCATTTCCACTGACCAAATTTTAAACTACGTAGGCTACTGTTCGCCTTACTTCCACTCAGTGGCGTAGCGAGGTCGGGTGTCACCCGGTGCGGTACTTAATGGCGTCACCCCCCCCCCCCCCCCCCCCAGAGGCGTTGCGACCCTTCCCGGGGACAAACTTTCAAGTTTTCGATTTGCACCCCACCCCCTCAAACTTTCGGTTTGCACCCCACCCCCTCAAGTTTTTGATTTGCACCCCCCCCCCCCCAAACTTTTGATTTGCACCCCCCCCTCAAGTTTTTCTCTATATATTTTTCTATTTTTTGCCTTGGTGTCACCCCCCTAAGTGGTGTCACCCGGTGCGGTCCGCACCCCCCGCACCCCCCTCGCTACGCCCCTGTTTCCACTGATGGTATTAATTGTTCTTAATTTCGTTCTTAATTTCATTCTGAATAGCAATCGAGGTTTCTCCAGGTACAGTTAGATTTCATAATGAAATCATCTAATGACTTAACTCCCTAACCCATAATTTCAAAGACTGCAAGAAATAGCATAGTTACCTCCCATAATCGATATAAAAAACAAATCTTAAATAAATTATTTCCCCTGTTCGAAATGCTAAAGGGGATTTTATATTTACTTGTCAATTTTTAATGTAAATTTTTTCTGATTGACGTAATATTTTTACTTTGATTTTTGAGTTATAATTAAAAAAAAATTTCTTTTAAAACATCATCTTTTATTTTATCTTTAATTAAATATTCCTTATAAGTGGATCATGAACGAGATAGAAATAATAAATGTACGAAAGAAACTCGTTAGTATAGGGCACGTGACGACGACAGCGCGTGATACTTCTCAATCAGCCGCTCGAGGTTCTATTTATAGCCAGCAGACACAGGCTTACATTTGTCCTGTTAATTAGTAAATCACACGATCTTCATTAGCAGGATAGCTTCGGAGAGACGTTTAGTTTTTTTTTAGTTGTTGGAAGAAATGCTATCTATATATATAATTCTCTTCTGGGAGCCGTTAGAAAACAAGCTGCAAGCGCCTCCTTGCAGTCCCCTCTCTTTCTATCTATCACTATCACTACCACCCCCACCCCACCCCCACATTGTCTGGTGAGCTGTGGTCACGCTGTTTATAATAATAAAGATAATTTAGTTTGAAACGATTTTAAACTTAGAGGAGGTAACTAAGAGGAGGCTGCTTTCACGTGGGGGGGAGATGGGTTTAGTGTTTTTAAGCAAATATTTTCAGTGGCAGCATTGTTACTGTCGAATTCACAAATTATTAATTACTGAAAAGTAGAAAAAAAAAAAACTAAATAGCGGCGTATGATACGCAGCGGGTCGGCTCGTTTAAGATAATTCTTGACTCAGATTTCAGCCTGCTTTTCTTTTTGGATTTGCTTCCATAGCCTTTGTCCAACCAAGAACAAACTACAAGGCAGCAGTTATTTGATTTTGGAGTTGTCTCTCCAAGAAGAGTTGTTGTCCCCAGTTATCGAGCCTCATCTGCCCTGGGGCCGAAATTGTTTTATAATGCTATATTTTTTTTGTAAAATTGTAACAAGAAATCTTCAAATGTTTTGAAGTACTATCAAGAGATGCCATGCTTCAACTGACATTTTTAAAAATCATTTTAACCATGGGCGCATTCTTGAGATGGGAGGCGGGGGATGTTACGGGAAGGGGATTAGGTGAAGGTTAGTGTTGAATTGATTACACACAAAAGAGGAAAAAAAAACCACCCAAACCTGTACAACTTGGCTGTTGAGGGTCTTCTTGACTGGAGAGATTTTATTGGCTGAATCTGGGCTGCGATGTGTGTCTGTAGATTTGGTTCTTGGTGGAGCTAGTCGAGATGGTGATGGTGTCTCCACAGGTGGCATGCTGGTGTTTGCGACAGTAGTAGGTGTTGGTGGAACTAGTCGAGATGGTGATGGTATCTCCACAGGTGGCATGCTGGTGTTTGCGACAGTAGTAGGTGTTGGTGGAACTAGTCGAGATGGTGATGGTATCTCCACAGGTGGCATGCTGGTGTTTGCGACAGTAGTAGGTGTTGGTGGAACTAGTCGAGATGGTGATGGTATCTCCACAGGTGGCATGCTGGTGTTTGCGACAGTAGTAGGTGTTGGTGGAACTAGTCGAGATGGTGATGGTATCTCCACAGGTGGCATGCTGGTGTTTGCGACAGTAGTAGGTGTTGGTGGAACTAGTCGAGATGGTGATGGTATCTCCACAGGTGGCATGCTGGTGTTTGCGACAGTAGTAGGTGTTGGTGGAACTAGTCGAGATGGTGATGGTATCTCCACAGGTGGCATGCTGGTGTTTGCGACAGTAGTAGGTGTTGGTGGAACTAGTCGAGATGGTGATGGTATCTCCACAGGTGGCATGCTGGTGTTTGCGACAGTAGTAGGTGTTGGTGGAACTAGTCGAGATGGTGATGGTATCTCCACAGGTGGCATGCTGGTGTTTGCGACAGTAGTAGGTGTTGGTGGAACTAGTCGAGATGGTGATGGTATCTCCACAGGTGGCATGCTGGTGTTTGCGACAGTAGTAGGTGTTGGTGGAACTAGTCGAGATGGTGATGGTATCTCCACAGGAGGCATGCTGGTGTTTGCGACAGTAGTAGGTGTTGGTGGAGCTAATCGAGATGGTGATGGTGTCTGCAATAGGGTGGTATGTAGGTTTGTATTTTTGGATGCTGGTGGAGCTTGTCGAGATGGTGATGTTGTCGCCGCGGCCGAGAAGTGTGAGCTAGCAGCAGTTGTAGTTGTTGGTGGAGTCAGTGATGAGGTGGATAGTAACAAACCAGTCCTTAATTGAGCCCCTTTTGCGTTGTATAATTTGATATCTTTAGAAACCAAGTGAATTGAACTTTTTTCTACAACTTTTATTGGAGACAAAGATTTAGAGTTTTTGGAAATTCCCTTTAAATTTTCTTGATCTTCCGGCTGCTTCAAAAAAATTGAATAATCTGTTGTTTTTATTTCACTAGCAGACGCCATATTCGACGACACTGTGTTTAAACTCACGTCTAGCGCATGCCCAGCTGTTAGTACCTTCCTTCGCGCATGCGCTTTGAACCCGTAAATTCGATGCGAGGCTTGGCGGATGAAACGCCAGATAGCAAAGTTGCAGTAGAACACGATGATGACGGGTACTCCGATAGAGCTGAGTAGCAAGAAGAGCGTATAGGAGAAACTATCCGTCCGGTCGTAGCCACAGTAGTGAGTTTTTTTGTCGAAGTGGAACTCACCCCAGCCGAGGAGGGGCGGTAACACGGAGAGAAAGGCGAAGACCCAGATGAGGGAGCAGTACAGGATCGAAGCCAGGAAAGACCGGGAGAAGATAGTGTTATACAGGTCGGTGTGGCAGATGTTCAGGTATCTGATTAGGAGAGATAATTATGGGGAATTAGTCGAGATTACAATATTACTAACAACCCAACAAACCTATTTTATGGAAGAGTCTATTATCGGACATCGTTATCAAAAATCATACAATAGTTAGATTAGCATTATTTAAAAAGATTAGAAAAAATACGTTGTAAAAATAGAAAAGCAAACAGTGTTCTAAAATAGATTAGTAAACGTTATTCTTAAAGTAAATTTGTAAACGTTATTCTAAAAATAGATTATTAACCCTTGTTCTAAAAATAGACCAGTTAGAGTAAACACTGTTTTAAAATAGACTGTCTTGAAATCAACTAGATGTTCCGGTCCAGAAGTTATACATACACACAAAAAAAGAAACAAATCTCTTGAAAATAAAGCACATTCTTAGCTCAAAGCACTAACTGTCGTAATACAAAAAGTTATAAAACGTCAATCACTTCAGTGATTGACCAAATACAAAAATTAAGTATAGAATACTCTTGGTATATTTTTAAACGTTTTTCTAAAAATAGAATATATTAAAAATTGTTCTAAAAATATAATATTAACAATTGTTTTGATAAATAGAATAGTAAACACTGTTTTAAAAATTGATCGTCTTTAGAAAAATTACCTGTCCGGATCCAGTAGTAATAAAAAAAAAAGATACAGATCTATTGAAAATAAAATATATACTTAGCTCGTAATACAAAAAGATATAAAAGATCAACCACTTCACTGATTGACCTAATACGAAACGTTAGTACAGATTACTCTTAGTTCTAACTGACCTAATGCAAAAAAGTAGATCAAATCACACGCACACATCTAAACTAACCAGTCCAGGGGGGTTTATGTCGTAATGGGTCTTTGTTTTGTGCTGGGGGTTTATGTCGTAATGGGTCTTTGTTTTGTGCTGGGGGTTTATGTCGTAATGGGTCTTTGTTTTGTGCTGGGGGTTTATGTCGTAATGGGTCTTTGTTTTGTGCGGGGGGTTTATGTCGTAATGGGTCTTTGTTTTGTGCTGGGAGTTTATGTCGTAGGGGGTCTTTGTGTAGGGGGTTTATGTCCAGGTTTTGTGTGTGCAGGGATGTATGTCGTGTGGGGGTGGGGGGTCTTTGTGTAGGGGGTTTATATCCAGGGGATTTTGACCGGACACCACACCCACTGACCTGTTAACGGAGATGACCATCAATGTTTGCAGCGAGGCCACGTAGCCCACAACGATGATCAGACCGTTGAAGACGCAGTTGCCGAAGCTGACCACTGGGTAGTAGTTGAGCACCAGGCCTACCACCGTCCAGGGGACAACATAGCCTGGAAAGGTCAAGGTTATTCGGTGAGAATACAAGTCTCGAACAGTTGAGTCCGAGGTTCGGAAATACATTGATAAGCTAGTCTCATAATTTGACAACAAAAGGACTGGGCAAAAAATTTATAAAAGTTTTTTTTTTTTGTAAACAAGAACAGATATGTATTAATTTCGTAATGAAGATTTACCAATGTGTTTTTTTTATGTTTCTTTGTTGTTGTTTTTTTTTTGGGGGGGGGGGGGGGGGGATGGGTTAAATGGAGGGAGTGGTCCATAAATGACGTCATCCTATTCCAGCAACCCTGAACGAGACACCTCTCACCCCCTCTGTGAAATAAACGCACCAAACCACCCAACCTCTTAAAGGTAAAACAAACTGTAATTACAACTCGTTTGCTTCTTTAAATATTCTATTTCTCAAGGGTATATCATCAGTTTTGTTCTATATTTTTACAATTTAAGATCTAAAGCCTTTCGAATACTTTACAATGTTTGGAAAATGAAAATAAGTTTAAACAATAAAAAAAAAGGGTTGAAAAAAATTACCGTTGTCATGGAAATCCGAAAAAAAATATCCGCCATGTTGAATTTAAAAAAAAAAAACTAAGGCATTTTTATTTATACACTTATAGCAATCAAATTTACATGGCTTATATTTTAGTATGTATTAAAACTTTTGTTAGGACAACTTTTTGATAGAGCTACTGGTCAGAACTCTACAAGGTCTGAAAAATGGCAACCTTTGTAATAGACAAAAGTTACAAATAACTTTTTTTCTATGAAAGCCATCACAATTCCCTAGAAAAAAAGTTTAATTTTTGCTTGAAGAACAATTACCACAAATATGGTAGGAATTGTTTCATAAATTAAAAAAAGTAGAAGGATTTTTAGTGTTAACAAATTGCTAACCGAGAAAAACAGCAAAAACGAACGAAAAGTTGGTCACGAAAATACCATTTCTGTGTAATTTGTAAAGCCGATTGTAAGCTTTGAGTGTTTCTGAGATGATGGAAAATACGATTATCAAATACATGTGAAATACTGCTTTCCAATGATACCTTAACAGTGGCGTAGCGAGGTCGGGTGTCACCCGGTGCGGCACTTAATGGTGTCACCCCCCCCCCCCCCCAGAGGCATAGAGACCCTTCCCAGGGACAAACTTTCAAATTTTCGATTTGCACCCCCCCTCAAACTTTTGACTTGCACCCCCCCCCCCTCAAGTTTTCGATTTGCACCCCCTCAAACTTTCGACTTGCACCCCCCCCCCTCAAGTTTTCGATTTGCACCCCCCTCAAACTTTTGATTTGCACCCCCCCTTCGAGTTTTTCTCTATATATTTTGCTATCTTTTGCCTTAGTGTCACCCCCCCCTAAATGGTGTCACCCGGTGCGGTCCGCACCCCCCGCCCCCCCCCTCGCTACGCCCCTGTACCTTAATACAATATGATGACGGATTTAAAACTTTTCGTACAGAGCTTGTAAAATTGGGAAAAAAAAATTATTTTTTTAAAAATTAATTAACCATTTAAAAACAAAAAAAATTATCATTAAAATTATTATTTTCTTAATTCAAAAACCGACAAAGTATACAAAAGTGCAAGAAACTCATTATGAGGAAAAATTGAGGTTTTGGTAGTTTTTGCGTTTGTTTTGTCGCCTCTTCTGCTGAGCTATTTTCAGGGATGTCTTTGGGCTGCATTGTACCCACTCTCTACCCCGATGCACGTCTTAACCCCCCCCCCCCCAACGAAATAGAATATATTTACTTTTTCCAGTGCTCCCCCCCCCCACACAACGGAAAAATTTATCCCATCTTACCTCCGGAAATTTTCATGTCGTCCCCCCCCCCCCACCGGTAAATTCAGTCCACCTTACCCCCCCCCCCTCCCCACCCGAAGGAATGGCTGAAAAAAACAAGGCTCTCCTAGCCTCCCCCTCACACTTAATGTCAAATCCCCCATCCTTCAAATCACCTCTTTCCCACCCCCTCTTCGTTAGCTGCCTATTTCAATGTTCAGGATTTAAATTAAATACATTAAGTTCACTCCATCAAGATTTTTTTTTTCAAAATGTATAATTTGTAATTACTAATTTTTCCTTAAAATAAACTTGTGAATTCCAAGGCCTCACTAATACCATCGAAACTTTTTTTTTAAATTGTTTTTTTTCTCGCTTTAACTAAGAAGGTGTAGAATTGATTGAATGAAAAATCGACAATACTCAATTTTTAACTAGCTAATAAGACGCTACAAATAAATGAGACAAAGAGAACAAAAAACGCTGTTTCTAAAACAATCTTTCAAGGAAATAAAAAAAAAATTATAATAAGACACAGCAAATTAATTTTATGTTTAAAATATCGATCTAATAAGTTCATTACTTCTTTAAAAAAAAAACAACAACCATGATTACTAATAATGTCGGAATCAAGAAAAAAAAAACGATCGATGTTTTAGGAAGCAACACTTAATGAAGCTAATTAGGTCATTTTTAAAAATTAGGACTAAAATAATAAAAAAGTTGACGGGGCCCTAGAATTTTGAAATTTTAAAATAATTCTGACACTTCTCTCTCTCTTTCTCTCTCTCTCTCTTTCTCTCTCTCTCTCTCTCTCTCTCTCTCTCTCTCTCTCTCTCTCTCTCTCTCTCTCTCTCCCTTTATTTCTTTGTGACATGGGTATAACCAGCTAACCACGTGTCAAGCCAGCTAAACATGATAGAAAATAGAGCGATTCTGTCACCCCCATTCGACAGCCCACTAGACCCTGGGGTTTTCAACAGAGATCTACTTTCTTCACTCAACGTTATGCACCACCTGGTTTCGACAGAGGGATAGGGGTGTGTTTGTGAAAGGGGAGGGCAGAGGCGTAGCGACGGGGGGGCGGGGGGGGGGACATATGTCCCCGGGCGCCGACCTTAGGGGGGCGCCAAATTGAAAGTTTGAGGGGGGGTGCAAATGAAAAGTTCGAGGGTGGCGCAAATCGAAAGTTTGTCCTCGGGCGCCGGGAGGGGTCGCTACGCCTCTGGGGGAGGGTGTTCGTTCGGAGGCTGCCTACTGTTTTAGCCTGGGATATTGGGAGTTTTAAGTTGAAAACTAACTGTATTTAATGTGGAATTACCTGTAAAAATGATGGAACTACCTGTATAGATACTGGAACTACCTGTATAGATGGTGGAACTACCTGTATAGATGGTGGAACTACCTGTATAGATTGTGGAACTACCTGTATAGATGGTGGAACTACCTGTATAGATGGTGGAACTACCTGTATAGATGGTGGAACTACCTGTAAAGATGGTGGAACTACCTGTATAGATGGTGGAACTACCTGTATAGATGGTGGAACTACCTGTATAGATGGTGGAACTACCTGTATAGATGGTGGAACTACCTGTATAGATGGTGGAACTACCTGTATAGATGGTGGAACTACCTGTATAGATGGTGGAACTACCTGTATAGATGGTGGAACTACCTGTATAGATGGTGGAACTACCTGTATAGATGGTGGAACTACCTGTATAGATGGTGGAACTACCTGTATAGATGGTGGAACTACCTGTATAGATGGTGGAACTACCTGTATAGATGGTGGAACTACCTGACCTGTATAGATGGTGTAACTACCTATATAGATGGTGGAACTACCTGTATATATGGTGGAACTACCTGTATCGATTATGGAACAACCTGTATAGATGGTGGAACTACCTGTATAGATGGTGGAACTACCTGTATAGATGGTGGAACTACCTGATCTGTATAGATGGTGTAACTACCTGACCTGTATAGATGGTGTAACTACCTGTATAGATGGTGTAACTACCTGACCTGTATAGATGGTGGAACTACCTATATAGATGGTGGAACTACCTGTATAGATGGTGGAACTACCTGTATAGATGGTGGAACTACCTGTATAGATGGTGGAACTACTGACCTGTATAGATGGTGAACTACCTGTATAGATGGTGGAACTACCTGTATAGATGGTGGAACTACCTGACCTGTATAGATGGTGGAACTACCTATATAGATGGTGGAACTACCTGTATAGATGGTGGAACTACCTGTATAGATGGTGGAACTACCTGACCTGTATAGATGGTGGAACTACCTGTATAGATGGTGGAACTACCTGTATAGATGGTGTAACTACCTGACCTGTATAGATGGTGGAACTACCTGACTGTATAGATGGTGTAACTACCTGTATAGATGGTGGAACTACCTGTATAGATGGTGGAACTACCTGTATCGATTATGGAACTACCTGTATATATTATGTAACTACCTGTATAGATTATGGAACCAGGGCCGGCGCTATCTATAAGGCGAACTAGGCGGTCGCCTGGGGTGGGGGGCGCAAAAGGTTTAATCGCTATTATCAAAAAATTACCTAATAATTAATAACTTTTATAAAGGAGTAGCGATCTATTTCGGCACCCTGGACGAACTATCAATTTTGCACCCCCACCCCAAAATTAGGTCTATATAGGCCTAGATTTATTCGCGAAAGTGAAAATGCAACCCTACCTCCCTAATTTGGAAAGGTCGGGGCGCTTTTTACCAGTCGCTTTGCCTTTTTTTTGTGTCACATAGTTGATGTAGAAAACGATTAAATAAGTTCTTAATTTAAATTTAGAGCATTTCAAACGGTTTTCTAATTTTAATAGGGCTTGTAAGGTCTCGTTTTTTTTTTTTACTTTGAATTAGAAATCTGTCCTATTGTATAGAGTTTTGTAATTACGGGGTGTTCAAAGTATTGTACTTGTTTGGTTAGTTTTGATGAAACTTTAGATTTGAGAGTAACGGCGGAAGGCTGTTGCTGATATGGTTTCGTAGGTATAAAGTAGTGTTAAAGAGTTATAACTTTTATTCGGCTTTTATGTAGTTGAAGGTCTAGTGGAATCAGATTGGTAATAGAGCAATGAGAATGAAGGTGATGAAGTATCGTAGTTTAGGAGTTCGGGAGTATTGATTCTTGTGGTATTGAGGTATCGAATTATATTGACTGTTAAAGTGTAGTTGTAGGTCCAGTGAAATCGTTGTTGATTGGGTGTACCGTT